AAAAAAAAAAAAAAAAAAAAAAAAAAAATCACACCGCTTAAGCAACAGGCCGTGAATTCAAATCCTGTGTAATACACAAAGTGATGTGATGTAAGCAATGCAGGCTACCGATTTTCCAGGGTGAAGCCAAATGATCACACCTTAAAAAAAAACAAAAAAAAACAAAAAAAAACAAAGATCACACCGCTTACACAACAGGCTGTGAGTTCAAATCCAGTGTAATACATAAAGTGATGCGACGTAAGCGATGCGGGCTACCGATTTTCCAGGGTGGGGGCCAAAACCCAAAAAAAAAAGGCACTCATCTGCAGCAGAAGAGCAGCGGACAGTCAGTAAAGACTACTTAAGAGTATCAGAAGAACCTGCACGGAGGGAACGCCAGTAATGTGCCAGCCATATAATCAGCTTATTGAATTTAAAATAGAAAGGGCAGCCAAGGAAAGGACTATCTATAGATTCTATACTGTTATAGCCTATAGGCTTATAGCTTTTTACAAACAGAACATGACGTCCTACCCGCCAAGGAAAGACCTAGGATACTTCAATAGAGCATTATGTGTGTGGCCTTGGCCAATCTTTAGTGGCAACCATTCTCCCATCCATCCTCTGCCTGTGTCCATCTTCAGTGGTTTCAAGACCTAGGTACAAGAGTGTTGTGCACCCAAATTCGCACTGTGCAAAGAACATATAACCTTACGCTTATAATGGCGGAGCAGACCCAGTGGTACATGTGTGACTACCATCAGACTCCGAATAAAGACAAGTACCTCGCTAAAAGACAAACTACCACACACGTGTCTAAATGGTCATGAAATACTCTGTTCATGGTGTGCTGGATTGTGTCAGGGCCATTACAGAGTCCGAAAGGCATTAGCACAAATGGCACAAAAGCTCGTGCAATCCTCGTCTGAACAAAACTTTTCACGCTGGTCTTCGGGTCTTACCTCCATTTCATAAAGCCTGGACTGCAGATCCAACTGTTTTTCTGAAAGGACAGACTGCCGTAACTGCCTATGAGGTCATCTAGATGTGCAAGGGGCTCAGCAGATTTAACAGTGATGGCATTGAAAATTTGAAAACCCTACGGTCAAACAATGTTCCCCCTCCTTTTCACCCTCAATGTCATTCTCTGTCTCCCCATAGACATGCCGTGCCTTAGCTGCCTATGAGGTCAGCGGGGGGTCCCTGTTCACCGCTTATGCATATTTAACAGTGACGGCATTGAAGCCCCTATAGTCAAACAATGCCCCCGCTCCTTTTCACCCTCAACAATGTCCTCCGTCCTCTTCACTGTCAGCGTCCTCCTCTGTCGCCCCACAGACATGCCGTCGCACCTGCGAAAGGTTACGTGCAGGTGTGTCATATCGGGCAACAAGCAAAAGGTGCCTTCCTGCTCACAAATGGCTTCACGACGGGCCACTCGTATGCAAAGGTCTGCCAGAAGACGGGTGCGTAACGCGTGGGAATCTACCAAACAGTTTGGGAAAAATCCCAAACAGTCTAGATAGTCAATTTAGCGTGATAGTCAAAGCTTTTAGCACTGTTTGATGAGCCCACGTAGTATTAGGTAGTTGGTTAGGTAAAGGCTGACCAGGCTGATGATGCTTAGCTGGTCTTTTCGGATGATCAGCCACACTGGGACTGAGACACGGCCCAGACTCCTACGGGAGGCAGCAGTGGGGAATCTTGGACAATGCCACTTTTTCACAGAAGATCACCAGACATGCAAGTAGGGATCTCCACAACGTCGCAAACATGCCACTTATCCATAAGTGGGCTACCATAGACAGACAGATTGAGAGAGAGAGAGAGAGATGGGCTACCATAGAC